GCTGGCTGCCTACGGGGCGCCGGGCCACTTGGCCGGAGACAAGCTGCTGCCGCCTGCTGCCTTCGAGCCGCACGCCGCGCTGCTGGGGCGAGCGGAGGACGCGCTAGCCCGAGGGCTGCCCGGAGGTGGAGGCAGTGCAGGTGGTGGTGGAGCGGGCGGCGGGGGCGCCGCAGGGTTGCTGGCGCCGCTCGGAGGGCTGGCGGCGGCTGGGGCGCACGGGCCGCACTCTGGTGGCGGCGGCCCAGGCGGAGGCAGCGGAGGCCCCGGCGCGGGCACCGCGGCCGAGGAGATCAACACCAAGGAGGTGGCGCAGCGCATCACCGCGGAGCTGAAACGCTACAGCATTCCGCAGGCCATCTTCGCGCAGCGCATACTGTGCCGCTCTCAGGGCACGCTCTCCGACCTGCTGCGCAACCCCAAGCCGTGGAGCAAGCTCAAGTCTGGCCGGGAGACCTTCCGCAGGATGTGGAAGTGGCTACAGGAGCCGGAGTTCCAGCGCATGTCGGCGCTGCGCCTCGCAGGTAGGAGCTTGGCGCTCACCGCCCTACTTCAGAGCGCGGGCTCTGGGCTCCCCAGCGCCCAGCCGCGAGGCGGCAGAGCGCCCGGACCCCCTCCCCACCCTTCTACCGTGCACCCTACTATTCCCCGCGGGCTCGCAGTAGGCTAGACCGTTGTCTGCGCTTCTGTGGGTTTGTGCCAACACCAAAAGGGGAGAAAGGAATTGTGCGGTCCCCCACCCCTTGTCGCCCTGCTGCTCTTTCCGGAATGGGTAGGGTTCCCTAGTTCCTTTTGGACTGCTGGGAGGGTCCGGGCTGCTCCTCGAAGCATCGCTCAATGTAGTTCATTGTGTGTGTGTGTGTGTGTGTGTGTGTGTGTGTGTGTGTGTGTGTACACAATCGCGCGCCTGGAGAGGAGTGGTGGTGCTGCTGTGTCCCCGGACAAGCCGCCGCTGTCAGCTTGGCGGGCCACTCCCCTCCTCCCGACGCGCCCAAGAGGGACCGCTGAGCGTCCAGCCCCGGGCCACAGAGTCGGTGCTCAGCCCCAGCCCTGGCGCTCTCTTCTTTGTAGCTCAGCCCCTGCGATCGATAGCCCCCTCCCCCACTCCGGCCGCTGGCAAAGGTCACCCGGGAATGGTCGGGGGAGGGGCGGCCCTCGGGACCCTCAGCTCGGGCTGGTCAGAGGCCTTCACACCCTGGTCTAGCCTCCTGCCCGCCTCTGCCCGCCTTTGCCCCTGGTGGGGTGCGCCCCCCCGCTGTGCTTTTCCCTTCTGTCTTTTCCCTTTCCACGTTCCACCTCTCTATCCCAACAAACTGCTCTTTATTTTCAGCTGGCTCCCAGGATTTCTCCAGCTCCTCGCTCTTTCTTCTCTCTTGCCTCAGTCTCTCTCAATCCCACCCAGGCAGCAGCCTCCTGGGACCCCTATGCTCCTCCCTGCTGTAGCTGGGTCTACAGGAAGCCAGGGCACACCCCACCTTGTGTTTGTGGGGGTGCAGGAGAGCCCCTGCCCCAGGAAGGGGGTCTTTCCCTGGCCACGCTGGGGAGGGGGCTGCACACCCCTGCCACAGGGACAATAGCAGCTTCCAGTGAGATCGATGTCTTCTCCAGCACATGAGAGCCGAGGAGGGCGGGGCAGGTGGGGGCTCAAGCAAGACTCCCCATCAGCCAGGAGACAAGGAGGGACTGACTGCACCCCAGCACAGCCCACCAGGCAGGGGGTGGGAAGAGAGGATCCATGGGGGATAGAGATGGCCCCGTTTTGCAGCCCCTTGCAAGCTGCTCTTTCTCCACACCCCAGGCAGACTGGACAGCCTCCTGGAGACTGCACCCTCAGGAGTGCCTCAGTTTCCCCTTCTGAAAAGCCAGGTGTCTAGCTGGAGCCTCTTGTGGGAGTCGTGGATTTTCCACTTTGGGCCACGGGGAGATAAGCCATCTTTTGAATGTGGCAAGTAACTAAGTCCCCAGGAGGTTGTTGGAACGCATTAGAAATGGCTACAAGAATCTGGACACTTTCCTGGGAGGGTTGAACCAGGGTGTCCTGTTCCCTGGACACAGGCAGGGGCACGGAATGGCCTCACTGTGGATGCTCAGTCACATCAGTACACAATGGCAGCCTACAGTGTGTGATGGGGTGACCTCAGGTGGTAGAGAGCACATCCCATAGGCTCTGTGGAAGGGGCAGCCCTCTCCAGGCATGAGCGGCTGCCACCAAGCCAGGTGTTTTATATACCTCCATGCCCATCAACTGCCTCAAATCCAGGCCACACATTTGGGGGACCTAGTGGGCTAGGGGAACCCTGGCATTTACTATAGCCAACTCATCATGTAAGATGACCCCTCGGTGGTATTTGAATGACATTTTGAGGGCCCACAGAGGATCATTACAGGCCAAGCGAGAAGCCCCTTCCCCTGGGATGGAGGTCACTGCTAGGTGAACAGTGCCACTCTGGTGTGGGGACTGCCTGGTTGCCGCAGACCTTGGTCTGTGTGCACTTCCGCCCACTCCACGGCCACCCGGCCTCAGAGTCCTGCTTGCAGCAGGTGTACTGACAGAGGGTGAAACTGAGGCTGGGCTGGAGTTCTGAGGCTGCCTCCCTGATTTCTGCAGCAAATGGGGACCCTCTCGTCTTCCAAAGCCTGTCCCCCATTTAGGAAACTAGTTGAGACAGAGGCCATGGCCGTCGCCTGGGACGACCCGAGGGGTGAGCCAGGGCCAGGCACTGAGCCTCAGGCAGAGTTGGACATCACGAACCTAATGAACCGGGACCTGTCTTGTCCCCAGGTCTGTTGGGGGTGGCCCAGCCCTGACCTTCGCACCTCCCTTGTGCTGGGGGCCGCGAGCACACCTGCAGACTCCACCTGGGACGTAGCGGAGGCGGCGAGGGCTGCGGGGTAATTAGGCTCCGGCCGAGGCCTTTAGTTCCGGTCGCTGCGCTAATGAAGAGCGGTTAAGTGGCGGCAAATCGCACGGTTAGCGGGAGGCGGCAGGCGCGTCCCACTGGACAGCCGGCCTGCCAGGCGGCGGCCTCGAGCGCCAGCAGATGCCCCAAGTCCGCGGCGCCCAGACACCCCTCAGCGCGACTCCAACCCCCAGGGAGGACTCGCCCTTCCTCCACGGCCGGCGCCCAAGCCTCCTACCTGGACCGCGGCCGCCGCCCCGTCCCAGAACTCCGTCCCGGTCCTCGTCTCGTAGCCCCTGGCCATCGTCCCGGGCCGCTGAGAGTCTCCCCAGGCTGGGGCGGGGACCGCAGGGGTGACGGAAGGGCAAGGGCGTCCGCGCAGGGAGAAGGAGAGAAGAAGTAAACAGATGGTGTGTGTGGGGAGGAGTAAAGATCGACGGGAAGGGGCCCAAAGACAGAAAAGAAAGAAACCTGGGGAGGAGACGGACGAGTGGAGAAACTGGCCGAAACGCGAGCAGAGGGAGGGCGAGAGGGCGAGACAAAGGGGAGGCCGCCGCGCAGAGGTGGGAGCCAGGCCCCAGGACCCTGCCCCGCGGCCAGGCCCCTCCCAGTCCACCTCCCGGCGGATCTCGGCCGGGAGAAAGGAGGAAATCGGTGGTTTCTTTGTTTCACTGAGACGCCCAAGAAGTCCTCAAAAGACCTAAGTCCCCGGCCTGGACTCCGGCTCGCGGGCCTCATTTTACCCGTCTGTAAAACGTGCGCCTTTGGTGCCGGGGCCAGGTTCTGACTGCCACATGCTGACTCTGGATCCTGCAGATCCAGGCAGGGCCCACCCTGCAGCCCCCAGCCCCATTCCCTCTGGGCTGGGGGCTCATCCAGGGTCTCCTCCTTGCAGAGACCCCTCCCCTGCAAACTGTGATTATGGGAGAGGGGCTGGGGGAGGGGTGGGACGGTCGATGAATTCGAATTACCGTCTCCAATTCATCACTGTGGCCGGGTCGATAGAGAGCTTCGGCCGTCTTCAAATATTGTTTAAATTGCAACTCCAAAGGAAAAGTATTTTTTGTAACTGATCAGAATATATATATATATATATGATAAAATATCAGATGGAGTCCGTTGAAAAGGGGGACCTGTGTCCTCCTCCTCGGGCTGGGCATTGGTGCTGAGGCAGGAGCCTGGAGTCCCTGAGGATGGTGGACACCAGCGGAGGGAAACCAAGGTAGGGAGAGACCCAGGGCCGACGAGATCTTGGCCTCTATATGGGACAAATGGAAGATCAAAACCAGGGCTGTTTCTGGTACGGGGTCGGCAGAGAGATTGCTGGGGGTCCCGAGGAGTTGGGGATGGAAAGGAAAAGAGGTCAGAGTTCATATGGGGGAGGCCCTGGCCCAAAGGTGCCAGCTGGGAGTCCCCTGGAAGGTCAGCCATCCACTCTTTAGGACCCCTGTTCCATTTGTGAAGACCCTACCTCCCACCGAGTGGGGGTCTGGTACAGACAGCCCAGGAGAGAGCTCTAGCCCCACCAGGCAGCAGAGGACCAGTGTTGGGGATCACCTGGCTCCATCCCCAACTGACTGACGCGAGGCCAGAGTCTGAGCTTCAGTTCCCCATCTCTCTGACACCTCAGAGAGTGGGCCAGGGTGCTGAAGGGGGCTCCCAGAGCAGGGCTGTGAGTGCTGGATCCAGGAGAGACCTCCGTGCATGATGCCCGGTGTGCTTTGGGTGTCCCAACCAATGCCCTCCCTCTTGAGGAGCACTTGGGCCATCGGGATCGGGTACCTGATGCAGGGGAGGAGAGCAGGCACAGGGGTGGGCAGGCTCACCCGGATGACTGAGGTCCTGGTCCCCACTCCCTCCCGTCCAGAGTCAGAGATGAAATGGCCCGTGCGACTCTCTTTTAAACTGAGTGTAGTTGCTGTGCCCACTTTACAGGCAAGCAAGCTGAGGCTGAGGCCAGGAGGGACCTCCAAGGCCACACCCCTTTTATGATTCAGAGCGGGGCTCCAGCAGCCTCAGCTTCCATAATGGGCAGGAGTGGGGCCGGGGTTCCAGCTCCTCTGAAGGCTGAGCCTGGTGGAGCTGAGACCAGGGTTGGGGTTCCCCAGCACCCTGCTCCTGCAGTGGGGCAGGGTGGGCACTCTGGAGCTGGCCCGGCAGGGATGGAGGCTTGGAAGTGGGGAAGCCCTTCTGTGGATGGAGGCTCAGGTGGGCACGGTGCCTTCCAGTTTACAGGCTGCTTGCGTGGCCCTCTGGTGGGTGACCGGCTCCACCTTTTCTGCTCACCACTTGTGCCAGCCTAGCCATGGGCCTGTGCTTCCCCTCCAGCTCCTTGGAGGGTGACAGTTCCCACCAGAGTCCCTGGGGAGAGGGGTCAGAGCTTCCTCCCATCCAACTGGGTCAACCAGGGTCCCTGCAATTTTGCCCTCCCCAACGCCAACCCCCCAGGGTGGCCTGGGCCCAGCCTTAGCGCTCCAGCCCACCAGTGCCAGGTTCGATAATTCCTCTCTGACATGACATCAGAGCCTGTTGGCAGGGGCAGTCACTCCCACATGCCCCATGTCACAGAGATGAATCTGGGAAGTTCATTGCCTGGCAGAAGGCTGGGACTGACATTCATCCCT